GGCTCTTTAGCTCCCAGAATTCCCCAGCCAGGTTGCTCCAAGGTTGCTCTCCTTTTTTCCATGCATTTTTTTTACTCTATCTTTTTGTCACCCTCTGCAGATATTACTTCATTTTCCAGAAGATCTGGGTAATAAATCTGGAGAGTCCTTTGAGGACCAGATTAATTAATAAAAGCAGTGAACTTCCTTAAAAACCTAATAAGCCATATTTTGAAATGTCTTTGTGGACCACGTATTGAGCAATTTGTCATCAAAGTTATTACATCTTATGCAGATTTTGAACTCCTACTTGCATGTGTTTGTCTTACCCATTTCCTAAATAAAATCTTCTTTCCATGTGCAGTATACTGATTTGTGTAAACAATAGTTTTCAGGTATTAATTAACCTAACTTAGTAAATATTTGCCTCCTCTTGGAGGCATCATTAAAGCCTTATACAGTCTATGAAACTTCATGATAATCTACAACTGCCAGAAATGGATAAGACAGAGACTTATATGTGCAAAATTTAGAATAACAAAAAATAGAAAAACAGAAAAACCCGTAATAGAAAAAATAGTATGCTTTGCTTTACATGGTTCCTCACTGTGTATCAGGCTTCAAAAACCAAGAAAGATATATAGACTTACTACTTGTTCCTCATCTACAGGCAGAAATCTTACCAAGCTAAAGCAGCTACTTGTATCACTGAAGATACACTCTAGGGATGAGCTACTGTGACCTTCTTCCACATAAACTCTGCTATCTCTTGGTCCTCTGGAATGCAGCCCCTCCCTCCTGGGAATTCAGACATTCCACTGCACTGTGTTCTCACATCTGTATATCATGGATGTAAGATGCATTAAATACCTGATTTTGAGATTATTTTTAGAGAGATACTGGTAGGTAGCCACAATTGCGATTGTCTGAATGTTTATTTAATAATGCCCATTTGAACACCATAGAAGTAACTAATGCATAGAATTTGCAAGACAAATCCAAAGCTTAATATAAATTAGTTCAAGAAGTCATACAGTGTTTCCAGCTTATGCTTTTATAGAACTTTGAAATGGGCTAGCATAACTTTATAAAGATTTAAAGGTGATTTAGATGACATCATCTCCCATTTGCACATTTCCAGCACTTTTATGTGTTATTTTCCTGCCAGAACAAATCTATTAAAGAGGAAAAGGTGGAATAGAGCATAGAACATAGAGTAATAGGGCTGGAAGGAACCTTGGAGGGTCTTCTAGTCCAACCCTCTGCTCAAGCAGAAGACCCTATACTGTTCAGGACAAATGGCTGTCCAGTCTTTTCTTGAAAACCTGTAGTATGGTTAAATCACAACTTCTGAAGGCAAGCCATTCCACTGATTCATTGTTCCCACTGTCAGGAAATTTCTCCTGAGTTCTAGGTTGGATCTCTCTTAATGACCTTACACCTGTTACTTCTTGTCCTGCCCTCAGGTGTTTGGGAGAATAGTTGCATAACATCATTAGACTCATCGTTCTTCTCCTTCTTTCCATCTTCCCCACTTTTCTGTCTTTTCTAGAGAGATGGTCTTAGAATACAGTAATGTATCTGAAGTAGAATAATTTGAGCCTGGTCATTGGTGCCTTGATTGACTTCTGGGTTGATTTGTTTGATAATCCAGATATAGATAAGAACACATAATGAAACCCTATGTGAGATGACCTTTGAATTGCTGGTTTTCTAGCTCACAACTCAGTGTCTTAGCTACTTCATTAAGTACAGTATATTATGAAAGCTCAGAATGTGGCTGACAACATATTTCTATAACTTCTTCTGTGAGACTAAACAGGTTTCTGTCAGTTTATATCTGTTGTTTACTTTGAATACAAGCCACTTAAAATAGATGGCTGCCTCTCTAGGTAGCCATAAACGTCTCAACATTGTGTGCATCTCATCTTAGTTGATTGTGGTATTTGCTTAAATATTGCTTGGTGGTAAGGAAGACAATATAACAGAATATTTGGAAATAATCGAGAAATTGAAGAATGAGATTCAGTTGTCTCCAGTTTTTGAAGGAAATAAATGATTGGACTGTCCATTTATAAGATGAGAAATCGCTATGAATTTGTAAAAAGAGATTAAAGAGAATAAAGATTATCAAATGTTGAAGAAGCATTGACTTTGTTAACTATATATCTATATATGTGGGGTTATAGTGCAGAATCTGTAAACCAAATAACCTTCAAGCTTTTCTATACAATCCAAGCTTTGGTAGCCTGGTCTTTTTTCACATTTGGGAAGGGAAGCTTACATGAATGATAGAAGCAACAAGGATTTAATATGCTAGTGTTAATTTATTAGAATAAATAATGGGATGGGGTTGTAAGGATCAGAACTCAGGTGTGCTGGAAGGTTTCTCCTTAACTCTGTCCATCTCTTATAATCCTGGTGAAAAATTATAGTCCCCAAAAGATTCTATAAGTTTGACAATGGAATTGTTGGGACAACACTTTAAGTTACTTAACCCAGGGATACAAGTAGTCCTTAACTTATGACCAGAATGTAGCCTGGAATTTCTACTGTAAGTCATGAGGGCCACTAGTTGAGGCACCCACGTGACCAGTCTGATTTTATAATCTTTTTTTGGTAGTGGTCCATAAGCAAATATCGCAGTTGTAAAGCGAATGTGGCAGACATAAAATGAGTTCTTTTTTTTTTTTTTTTTTGCTGGAAACCACCCAAAATGGCTGGAAACTAACAAAAAAAATTGTGAATCATAGTAACATGACCCTGGAATGCTGCAGGTGACTGCAAAAGTGTGGTCATGTGACTGCAGTGGCATGTGGCATGCTGCCGTCAGAATTCCAGAATTGTGTCATAAGAATCTTTTTTGGGGGGAGAGGGTCCATTATGTCTTGAATATGTTGCTGAGCAACCAGTCATTTAACAAGGACTATCAGTAATGGCATACCTCCATTATTTGATAAACTGTAATCCCAGTCCTGTCTGAAAGGCCTCTTAGTACTGGAATTTTTAAAGTCAAACAATTCAGAAATTAATCCCACCTCCAGTCACTCAAATGAATTTCCAGTCTTAAGACATGAGACTCCTATTCATGTGAATGGTATATAACAGGAAGACAAGCTAAAATAATCCTTGACTATTGTAAACTCTGGACCTCTAAGATGACATCCAATCACATGATTTTTTAAAAGGAAGAAACTACAAGTAATATCATTATGGGGTTTGTAGGATTTTTCCCCTTAATGGTATATTACACATTTGTATTATAGTTTATTGGGGCATCTCATCTCATGAGACAAGAACAAGTCTCAAAATTGTAATCTTAATTGGAAATCTATGCATCACACTATTTATTATTGAGCAGTTACCATATTTCCTTGGGACAGTGGTGCATTTGATGTTCCATGCCAAGAGACTGCTTTGATTCTAATTTCAGGGGGAATTTTACTGTGACAATTATTTTGTTACCAGAAGAACACTTTTAAATTTAAAAATCACTTAGCTATGAAATTAGACTCAAATGAAACTCTTGTAAATCTTTTAAAATGTAAATAGGTTTACTACTTAAGAATCCATACTTTTGCTCTGCTCAGCATACAAATAGTAGGATCAACACCATGGCCTTCCTTTCTATAACCTTTCTTCTTTCTCAGATTTATGTCCCATCTTTCTTTCAAGAGTTGAAGTTGGTACAGTATATACAACATCTCCTCCTCCATTTTTTTCCTCCATCCACCAACCTATAAGATAGATTGTAGTAAGACTTTGTTGTTCAAAGCCATCCAGTCAGTTTATGTGTCTGAGAATGGATTTGAACCTAGGTCTTCCTTGGTTTTAAAATTTCATTGTTATAATTGCATGTAATTGCAACATGAGAATTTTTGTAACTTCCTCTCAGACAAAAAGACACAAACAAAGGAAAAAATGTTGGGATTCTCTGTCTTCTAGATTTTTTTTTAATTGCAGGATTTCACTGTAATGTGGGGTGCCAACATGAAATTGTATTTTCTTCCCAAAGATCTCATTTTGCTAGTCTCTTTCCACCAATGGTGGGAGACCAACTCTCTTTAGCCACCAGCCCTGGGTTAGCCATGCTTTTTTGTTGCTGATCAACCTACCAATCTGAAATGGTTGCATTTTCTCAGTATGTCCCACAAAACTAGAACAGGCCCTAAACAAAACGGGCAGGCAATGAAAGCCTATTTTTCCAGTAGACACTGTATTTGCCAGTAAATATCTATGTTCATGGGGCAGGTGCTATTCTGCCACAATATGTTTATTTATTTTATTTGATGTTGTGCTGCCCAACTTCAAAATGACCCTGGGAGGCCTTCATAGTACACTCAACAGAAAAAAAAAACCCAGTATAATAAAAACAGGTGTACAACAAGAACCAAACTAGAAAAGAAGAAAACCAACAAGATGGCCAGCCTGACAACAATCCAAACATCCTACAACATTCATTAGCCAGCCAGAAGTTCCAGCTTCCTTAACCCAAGACCTGGAAGAATAGTCAGGGCTTTATGGCCTTCTGGAAAGCCAGCAAGGTGGGAGCCATCTGGATCCTAGGAGCACTCATTGCAGAGGGCCGGTGCTGCATCAGAGATACATCTTTCCTGGGTTCTAATAGGTGACACTGTTTGATCAGAGGAAACTAGAATACACCAACTCTATTTTACACACAACATCATGGGAAATGGGGGTGGGGAGGGGCTCAAATGACCAAAACCTATGCCATGTAAGGTTTTGTAAACCATAATGGGCAGTCTGAATTGCACCCAAAAACAAACTAGCAACCAGTGCACCTTGTAGGGGACAGGGAAAGGGAGAGGGAGAAAGAGGGAGGGAGAGGAGGGGAGTGGGAGAGAGAGAGAGAGAGAGAGAGAAAGGGGGAGATGGAAAGAGAGAGAGAGAGAGAGAGAGAGAGAGACTCATACACCTAAAATGGATCTATACTTAATTAAATATGTTCTTATCCTGTCTTATAGTAATCAAATATTTTTCTTTTGTATCTGTTCTTACAGGTTTTGCCTGGCATTCTGCAGAAACATTGCTGTATTTTACCAGACAGGAATACAGGTAATCACCAAGTTTTATTCTGCTCTTTTAATGTCTTCCTTTGTTTTGAGACAAAGAACTCTGAAGGAATTACAAAAATCAGATGATTCTCCAATTGCTCTTCATAAGGAGGATTGGGAAAAAAGCCCTCTGAGAAATGGGTTGTTAATCTTGAATTTAAATTCGCTGTTGTAAGTAGAATAATATATTTACAAATGACATGCCATTTGGGGCTAATTGCTCTCCTAGAAAATGGATTTCCACTCTCAGTATTTGTATATATACATTCATGAAATATATATTTATTTCCAAGCAAACATTTCCAGATATTTGTTTGCAGAACATCTCCGTAGAAAATCAAGAGTATATATGGATTCTTGTAGCTTTATTAAGAATAATTTTCATTTCTCTGTATGGAATATGAATTATTTCTTATGCTTGTTTGAAGGAGCAATGTAAGGCTTAACTTCAAAGTTTCATTTTAAAGCTATTAAATTACTAAAGCTGTGGAGATTTCTTAATGTAGTTTGTTTCTAATATTTTATGAAAAAAATGCTGTCAATAAATACTCAAAGGAAGGTCATGTACAGTATGTTTATACTGGAACTTAGATTAATTTGAAAACAGAATTCTCTAATGCACGTTCTATATTGTGATTATTCATTTAAAGGTGGACTGTTAAGTTCTGAAGTTGAAGTTAGGTTCCTAGTTATGTCTGAGATGCTGCTTCAACCTATTAGGCCATGGAAGAGCTAGACTAGAATATGCACAGACTATCAGAAATGATCCTTGAAAGCAATGATATGAGTCTTCCAGCGACTTTAAAGACGGTGTTTTCCTTGTGCTTTTCTTTTCATATGAAATTCCAATTTTTAATGAGTTCTTATAGAGAAACCTTGATGAAGACACATGATTACAATCAACCTGAAACACGATGGGTACAACATAAATAAAATATATCAGTATACTATAGTATATATAGCCTTCTACTCACTTGTTATTCAAAAATAATACTAAGCTACTTACTTTTTTTTAAAAGGACACCTTTAGAATGCCTTGCGATATATTAATGTACAGTTTTCATTTCTTCCTGAGAAGTGCATTTGTACATTTCCGACTGGAAAACTGACTAATAAAATTCAAAAACAAATTTGAAGGATCAGACTTCGGTTCACAGGTTAACTCTGCAAATTCCCATATTGGCTCATGAAAATGTATACCTGGCAGATTTTTTGTCTTTCCTATTCTGGTAGAGGGAAAACTGGGAAGTAATCCTTCTAAATTGTTCCGATAAAGCTCATCTCCACAAACAAATCTAATTTTCTTAACGTGTGCAGTATCCCAACATCATTCTGAAACCAGAGTCCTTAATACCCGTTAAGTCAGCATGTTGTGGACTGCAGATTTGATGGCTTCAATTTAGCAAAAAAACTGCCTTACCAAGAAACATTGCTTTTTACTAGCCATTAAGGAAATGAGGGATTAGTTAAAGTGTGTGCCATGACTCGGTAAAATGAGCTTGAATAAAGCACACAACAGAAAGCATAACCATTGCAAGCTTCCAGAAGCAGCAAAGTAGCGCACTATATTGCAAACACTTCTAAATTAAGTCTTTCTTTGATCTAAGGGGAGAATCATTTTTCCAAGGCAAATTCAGGAGACTGGTGATTTTTTTTAACCTTGCTTTTTTATTCCAGTTTACATTCTGTACTTGTGGCTACGTTTTCCCCAAGTGAGTTGTTAAAAGTTGATTTTGTTAATACTGACTGAGTTTTGCTTCGTTTTTTGTTGCCTAGAATTGACATGGTGATTGAGGCAGCTTATAAATCAGTTAAATAAAGCAGCCCCATTGATGAGTTTGATTATAGCTGGTGGGTCTTTTTGCTGATTGTAAGATGGAATGAACTAACACATGACTTCTGGCACATGATATATGGATTGTGGCTGTCATTCCATTTTCACTGACTGAGTTTCTCTGTGGTTTTCTGGTTTTAATTTCTTGTTCACTGCAGAGAGTCACAGTTCTGAGATGGCTGGCCAAATAAACAGCTTTAAATACATAATAGTTCTGCTTTCTTCCACTGACATGATGGCCTCTCTTTGAAATGTTGGCACAGCTGATCAGATCCTTAACAACACTTCATATATTACAATATTAGAATAGAGATAATAAGTTTATTTCTATACTGTAACAAAATAATACCTCTGGGCCTCCATTTCTATATTAAATGCATTTAATATAGATAATTGGATGCTGTGTTTTCTTTTCTGCACAGGTCAGAGATGGGTGTGAATTTGCTCAAGTTTTAAATAACTGTTTCAATGTATTGTTAATTTCAAATAATTTTTTTTATATAAATGGGAACATCATTAAGCAGTTGTAAACATGTTCTTGTTGAAATAATTTTGATTTAATACAGTTATTTATATCTCAGTTTTCGATTGAATTCATAAGATAGAATATCAAGTACAACACATTAAGATAACACTATAAATTAATATTTACAAACCCTACTCAGGGCAGGAATATAACATGAAGCAGTTTCAACAAATAGGAGTATATCCTTTAATTCAGTGGTTCCCAACCTTTTCTATACCCCGCACCTCTAGAATGCTTCTGATATATTCTCGCACCCCTTATAAAAGTTCGAAATAATGGCAACGAATTATGCATATACACTATAATTTTGAAAACCCAAGTTTTTGCACCCCCTGGAATATCATCTCGCACCCCCAGGGGGTGTGAGCACCCCTATTTGGGAACCCCTGCTTTAACTGAATGCATTCAGAGAAGGTGTTTAGCACCACAGAAGGTATTGGATCTGCTATTGAACAATGTTTTGCATTAGGAAGTTATTCTTGTGGCTGTTCTTTTTAAAATTGGATTGGAATCCGAATGTTTATGACTTTTAAAATTCCATTTTTCTGTGCTCTTTACTCTGGAAAGATACAGTACAATCTTGATTTCTTTTAAAAAAACATAAATAAATTATTTAAAATTAAAAATTATTTAAAATTAAAAAATAAATTAAGTTTATTTTTAGTTTAAAGAATTAACAATAAATAAGCAGTAAGAGTGCTTTCATAGTCCCCTTAATCTTCTCAGAAGTAAACATTCCCAGTACCCTAGCTTCTCCTTGTAGCAATTCCAATCTTGTGATTTTTTTTCCATTACTTTTCTCTGAATTTGCGTTAGGTTTTTTTGAGCCTCTTTTAAAGTATGATGGCCAGAACTAGACCCAGTACATAAAGGGGGGGGGGGCTTAGCAAAATAGAATTCATTGGAATAATTACTGCTAATGATTTGGTAACTTATATCTCTTAGTGCAAGCAAGGTATTTTTTTCCCCCATCTTTTTTGCAGATAGTTTCTGACTCATATTCAGTTGCAGCCAGCTACCATTTTAAGATATTTTTCACAAGTACCATAACTATTTCACATTCTAAACCTGTATATTTGATTTTTTTTTCTTAGTTGAAGATACTACAATCGTTTTAGTTAAATTTCATTCTGTTGCTCTCTGGCCAGTTTTCTAGCCTAAGAAGAATATTCCCAGTGTTATTTATTCAGGCATATTACGGTAGCTATGTCACCCCATTCTGTATCATCTACAGATTTGATAAGCATTTACTCTACTTTTTAATACTAATCACTAATAAAAATATTAAGACAGTAAAGAGTATAATTTATAGGTGGTTCTCAATTTACAATCGCAATTGGACCAGAGTTTCTATCACTAAGTGATGCAGTCATAAATCCCTGGAGTCCCAATTGCCATGGTTTACAACATTAGGCAAGGTAGCTCTCTGCCAGTGGGGTTCCCGCAACCAAGTCAGTTGGCAGAGATTGCAGGGGAGAGTTAGGAAGGGTGCATGAGTGTATGAAGGAGAGTCAGCAAGGGTGCATGTCAGGTGCAGTATGTGTTGGGGAGGATGTGCGATGCTGAGAGGGTGTATGTAAGAGGCGCAGCATGATAGAGGAACATGAAGGGATGCATGAATGGTTGATGTAGTGTGAGTACAGTGGGGCTATGGAAGAGTGCACAGATGGGAATATTTATCCAGCGACTTAAACCTTTCCTGACGGCTTCCCCATTGGGGAAGCCTGCAGGGAAGGTAGCAAATGGCAACTATGTGATCACTGGATACTGTAACCCAGCTATAAATGCAGCTGGTTGCCCAGTGCCCAAATTGCAATCATTTGAGGAGGCTGGGACAGCCTGAGCTTTCAGGACTGGTCATAACCACCATTCATTCATTGCTTTTGTAATTTCAAATGGTCGCTGAATGAATGATCATAAAATGAGGACTATCAGTGGGACAATGATAGCTCCTTCTCTATAGAAGCATCCAGAAGGTAAAATTCCCTCTTCTGACATCCAGATTTTGTCCATTCCAGCAACAGCTTTTGCTGTTCTGTTTTTGAGAATTGATGTTTAGATTTATTGTCTATAAGCATTTCCAGCAAATTTCCAATTTATATTAATCTCAACATGAATACAGTAGCAAACTTCCTTTAGCACCACAGAATAAGTAAAATGACCTCAGTCATTCGAAAGAGGGGCCTATGAAATGATTGCAGATAAAATATTTCAAAAATTGCCAATGAAAATTGAACTTGCTGATATGAATACCATACTGACAAGTGTGTACACGTGTCGGGGAGCAAATTAGGGAAGGAACAGGAATGAAATGGAGATGGAGACATGTAAATAGAGTGCAAAAACTGCACACTGCCACACACTGTGCTAGCGTCTTCCTATGCTCCTACTGCCAATCTGAAAGGCTAGAAATTAATCTTTGGAAAACCAATATGGTTGCATTCACCATGTAGCATGCTAATCACTCCCACATTTGGAAGATCAACTACTACCAAATTGAGCAAGTAAAAAGCTTTCAAATATCTTGGCCTTTATTTCCAGTCATCTTGCTCCTGTCACCTTGACTCTTCAAACCTTTATTTGCATGACCAAACAGCCTCTAACACAATAATTAAATATTCAATCAACAGTTACATGTGTG